ACAACTTACTGTGGCAAATGATATGGCAAGCCATCCAATAACGTTAGGAATTGCAGCGATCATTAAAGACTAGGGTCCAAACAAGAAAGTAAAAAGGTCCGTCATCAAATTGGGAAAAGAAGTAATTATGACTCTTGAAAGAAACACAATAGGAGATTTATGCATTCTTACTCCTTTTCGACCAATACACTCAGCTATTTGACCGCTGGCTATTGCCCCAACCATGGCACCTACATTTGATAAAGAACCAAACAGAGAAAACTGACCCAAAAATCCATTAGAAAATCAAAACAACACATTTTTTTTTCCCATATGCATGAACATGATTCTAAGCAACTGAGATTCAAACCTCCGGGACTGTAAGTCCAAGATCCTTGGTGATTGCTGATTGTGTTGGCGAGGAATAACCACCCTGGGGAATTCAAAATCAAATAAAAAACACAAACAAAAACAGAACAAAACAACATAGAAAAGATCGAAACTGGCGAATGAATAACTTACGGTGAATCCGAATTGGATTGGACCCAAAGCGACGATGAGAACGCAGGCGACGACGGAGATGGAGCTATCGCGGATGGCCTGGGACGAGCCCAGCATACTGGATTGCCTCGAACCCATGCGATACCAGCTTCCGGTGTGGAGAAATGGCTTTCTGAGATCCCTTGATTCTTCATTCTCGTCTCTGAAACTCATTTTCGGTCTACTACAGATTCACAAGAACCCTTACCTAACGATCAAATCCAAAAACCGCGCAAAAGGTGTTTGTGAAAAGTCCCCAGAGAGACAAAAAAAAAGAAAGCCTTCCAAAAATGTATGTAATATGTATGTCTGTTTGAGAAACGAAGGTGCTAATATTGGCGTCTGTTTTGTGTTTCGTCGTCGGCTTTATGGCGTGATGGTCTTCGCTGTAAATCTGTCATGTGTGCGACATGGACCAGCCGTTAGCTGTTACTAATTGCTAGTCACGACGTTACCTTGAGTATCGTGCAGATACTATTAGCCTATGGCCTTGTGCCACGTGTACAATTCTTAAATGCCAAAAAAATAACAGTATTCTTTGTTGATAGAAAAAAGGTTCCCATTAAAATAAATTAAAAAAACCAAACAACACATGTTGAGTTATTTAGGGTTGTTCTTTTAGAGTATAATTTGAGTGTAGTTTTTGAGTTAAATTTGA